AATTCGTACCTTAACCGAATTTGACAATTAACGCACGATCAAATGTGAATTCACGATCAAGTTTGATTTACCCGCGTGCCTAACGAACGCATAAACGGTTACTATTTACAAAGCATAAAAAYCGAAACATAATTATTCTATTGAAATTACTTAGGTCTTAACGTACTTAAACAACGTAGACTTCAAGAAGGACAGCTGGATACGAATTGAAAACTCAAACGTAAAACTTAACCTTATTCTCTTTCGATCCAACCGTTTCCGACCCTCTTATTTCTAAGCATTTTTTACCTACCTTAGAGACCAATCCATAATATACTGTCTAAATGAAAGTTGTAGTATGCAGTATGATCTTCCTGACTGCAAAATATGAGCTTAATCCGACTTACGGTTTGTGAGTTATACACTGCCAAAGTACAGGGGTTGCATTGTCGGTAAAATTCGATTCCGTAATTTCCGACTAACTTTTATGATCCAACTTTCATGCTTCGCTACATTTACGTGCTATAATGTACTTAAACATACTAAACAGTAAAACAAGTCTAACGGTCGTTAACCTAAGTTTAATCATGTATTTTTACTCCTTTMGACATTTAACCGAACAATTGGGTGTACGGTTAAACATTTACCCACAATCTAACCATATTGAAACTACAATATACCCTTTTCATTTCTAAATCAATATAACCAGTTCTAGTATTCTAAACATCAAATATATCATAAATATGACAATATCAATCCGTAAACTTAGATATAAACACAGTTTATAAACCGATCTAAACAATCCTAAAATAAACACCTTAATGAAACTGAATGAMACTTATACCTTTAAGAAGGGTTCGGAGAGTGGATTCCAAATATATAATTGTTGCCTCGATCCCCTTACTAACTTGACGTAAAATCTAGAGAAAAGACGAGAGAGAATTGTAGAGAGAGAGAATGAGAGAGAGAGAATGGGGTTGAGAGAGAGATTTGAGACGGTTTGCACCGCCTCTTGCATGTCTATATATATATTTTTATAATTTAATTAAAAAAAATTTAATAAAAGTTAACCGCCTCATATATAATATATATATATATTATAATATATAATATATATATATATATATATAAAGTTTAACTATTTGACGGTTTTTACCCTTCAAATTAAATTCCCAACTTTTACGTCAATATAGGTATAAACACATTTTGACGTAAAACTAGTCTAGGGTACAAATTGGTTAAACATGGGGTAAAAATATATCATGCATAATTCTACCAAAATTCTCTTAACCCAATTTGTACGAGTTAACAAAACACGGATATTATAATCCTCCCTCCTAAAAAGAATATTTCGTCCTCGAAATTTAGATAGGGTTAGAAGATTTACGTGATTCGAATAGATAAGGGTACTCCTTTCGCATGGATTCCTCGGTTTCCCATGTGGCTTCTCGCTCAGAATGATTTCRCCATAAAACTTTAACAAACGGTATTGACCTTCGTCGCATTTGTCTCTCTTCTCTATCAATTATCGCCTCTGGTTCTTCAATATAAGAGAGATCTTTTTCAACTTTGCCCAAAGGATAATCAATCACATGGAGAGGGTGATAATGATATCCGCGGAGCGACGAGATATGAAAAACGTTATGGATATGTGAGAGTTGAGGAGGTAGTGCTAGACGATACGCCACCTCTCCAACMCGTTCMASDATTTCAAAAGGTCCAATATATCTCGGACTAAGTTTACCTTTAATTCCAAACCTACGAATACCTCGTAACGGTGAAACCTTTAGAAAGACGTGATCACTCGGTTGGAATTCTACATGTTTTCGATGCTTGTCAACGTAACTTTTCTGCCGAGATTGAGCCTCTTTCATTTTCTGTTTTGCGATCTCGACTTGTTCAGTAGTAATCCTGACAAGTTNACATCGATGTAAGGTACCATTTTCTGAAAGACAATGTTGAAAAAGGTAACATAGAAATGTACTTTGTTCCAAATGAGATTCAACTTGCTGACATTTTTACAAAAGCTCTTGATAAAAAACGATTTTTATTCTTAGTCAGCAAGATGGGTATGCTGAATCTCACCACTTAGAGGCAATAGTTATCTTTCAACCAACGATCTTCAATATCTCATGGGTATGCCCATAAGTGATACAAAAACTTAGCCATACATTTTCTAAGTATCCTAAACCAGAGCCTCTGGTCATAAAGACCAAAGCCTCTGGCCATTTAGAATGACTTCGATTAAATGGCAAAATTTCATCTTTGGAACCAGAGCCCCTCTTGTTCAAAGCAAATACTTGGTCCTTTTAACCAAGTCTTTTTCTCCCAATCAGAGCCTCTGGACTCCAACACTTTGAGATATCAATGTCTCAATCCTTGGATTCTTGCATTCTCTCTCATTATTTCTTTCTCCTGAACCTCCCAGAGCCTCTAGTTCCAAAGACCAGAGCCTCTGGTTTCCCCACACTACTTGCAATATTTTTTTCCAACCAGAGCCTCTGGTTCCAAAGACCAGAGCCTCTGGTTTCCTCCTTTACTTGCTATATATATTATTTTCATAGTTTTTCCAACCAGAGCCTTTGGTTCTAAAGACCAGAGCCTCTGGCTTTAGATTCTTTGAGAGCAAGTCTTAACCATTTCCCTTCATACTCCCTTTTCATAGTTTTTCCAACCAGAGCCTATGGATTCAAAGTCTTTGTCACCAGAGCCCCTCTGGTCTCAAAGACGATTCTTTTTCCTTGTTCATAACACTCATTGCCTTCTCAACCCGAGCCTCTGGTTCTATAGACCAGAGCCTCTGGATTTAATGTCTTTGAGTTTTTCAAACACCCACAAGCCATGCCTCTCAACTAGAGCCTCTGGTTCTAAAGACCAGAGCCTCTGGCTTTGTTTTCTTTGCAATCTTTCCTTGGAATATGCTTCTCTCAACCAGAGCCTCTGGTTGTATAGACCAGAGCCTCTGTCTCCTAAACTTCTCAAATTTTATCTAAGTGAAGGCGAATCCTTGATTTTAATCAATATGCATCATTTGAGGGGGAGCAAAAGTTTACTTTTGTAAACTTGCATTTTCCATCCAGAGCTTCTGGTTCTACTATCCAGAGCCTCTGATCACATAAAATGCTATATATAAATATAATACCAGACCTCCTCTGGTTTTATAAAATGGATTGCCACACTTCACCAGTGCCTCTGGTTTGTTAACCAAAGCCTCTACATCATGCAAATCCAATATCACTACTTGTCTTCACCGACATTACAACCAGAGCTCCTCTGGTTCCACACCCACTATGTCATGCATAACCAGAGCTCCTCTAGTTCCACGGAAATACATTTTACACTCAAACTCATCTTAATTGAAAACCATTTTTAAAGGTTATACAAAATTGCAGGTTTTGTGACTAAAAACTATAACATCGGTTTTTAGAAGACCAAAACTTCGTAATTAGTATTAATCTTACAATTAGATGAGATTTTGAATAATTTTTTTTGGGAAACGTCTTCACC